TTTTCCATACCCTCGAGGGGTAATACTTACGCCTGCGACGTAGTAGATTGGGCTATAGCGCTCTGTAATTACTTTAAGGCTGGTAGGGGGTCATTTGAGCGATCCTCTGACCTTTTATAAAAAACGGTAATTGGACCGTCTAAAACTAGATTTTTAAAATACGTCAATTAAAGATTCGTTTTAAATATTTAAGATAATCTAATGCTCGTTTATAATGAAATACGATTGAAATATGGAAAGTTTTTTTCTTATAGTATCGTTTTAATAATCATTTAATGAAATCGATGCTAAGATGTTCCTCGGTATCGCTGCTGCGGCTTACATATTAATGCTTTAAAATTTATATAATCGGAATCGATCGATTTAATAAAAGCATGCTTTTTACCGTGTATCTCCCTCGCTTACCAAGGATTAGGAGAAGGTGAATCAAAGGAAGGGGGTAAGTAAAAGGAAAGGAGAATTGAAAAGCATGTTTTTATTATTTATTTGCTTATTAATTTAAGTCCTTCGAAACGGTTTAAAATTGTTACGGTTGAGGAAAGGTAGTATGGTAGTAGCTACCAGTCTGTACGCTACGTAGTGTGAAAGAAAGACGAAGAAGGAAAGAACTACAATACAGGAGGGCCGAGAGGTCTTGTACCGTGGGGCGGCCGCTAGTCTCGGATGACTAATCCATTAACCAATCCCCCAACCACGCCAAGGCCTGAGGCCTACCAGTATCGTAACAAAAATTCGATGACGGCTTTAGGACGGCTATAGGACGGTCTTAAAATGGTCCTAAAACGCTCGGAGACGGTCTTTTCGTAAAAAGACCGACTTTTATAACCGACGATCTAACCGATCAAAGTGATTTTATTCTAGCTACGATTTAAATAATTCGAATCATTTGTTTTCCGATTTTTTTTAATCTTAAGTATCGGCTTAAAGTGATCCATTAATTATGCTAACTTTTTAAGACCATCTTTTAAAGAGACCGTCATCGGATTGTCAACTGACGGTTTAAATAACCTTCTACCTGCCTTTAAGGTATTGTGTACCCTACCGTGTCTTAAAAACGGATGAACCCCTACGATGCTGTGTTAAGACCCGACAAAGCTGAACGTGTCTGAATTATGGAACGGCTTCAGGCCGAGAGAGGCGGCAAGGGCGATCTTGGTGCTTCAGAGCGACAAGCCTTTCCTCCAAAAGATATCGACGGCCTGACCGAGGCGAGACCATGAGAAAGGGGCTCGCTTGACAGATGTCACGTGTATTTTGTATATTTATTACTGGAACCTCCAAGCATGACGCGGCCCTCGCCCTGGACCCAGAACTATTCACGGCCTCCTCGCGTCCAATGATCATAGCTTTGATGGTGACGAATGGTCTGGTCATGCATGGATCATAACAGATCCAGACTCTACAATGCCAGATCGCCTGGTTGCAAATCCCTTCTGCTAAGAGGTAAGCTTTTGGGATCGGCATTCTTCCTCCCACGATCCCTGATACCAGGAACTCGGAAACTTGGAAGAAATAGTGATAATCCGACAGCCATTGGCCAATTAATAGCTCAAGCTTGCAATATCTTGCCGTCTGAAAGAGCTTATCGGGGCCGAGCCGAGCTTGAAAATAGCTTGTCATTGATTCAAGCCCGGGACCCCCGTTGTACCGCGACGTGACTCGTCAGCCATCACCTTTGATGCTGCACTCTTTACCTCCGGACTAGCATTCAATGGAGCTGAAGAGGCCCGGGAATGGAGAGCGGCCAGAAAGAAGACCAATCAAAGGCTCTTCATTTCGAAAGAACCCTTTTGCACTACGGATTCTTACGACAATGCGGAGGTTGAGCCGCGTGAACAACCTGAAAGTGGGATAAGATTGCCGCTACGGTTACCTTCAACAGAATAATGGATTTGGTGGTTTGTATAAGAATGGCACTGATAATTGTAGACCAATTCCTTCCTCACACTCACGCTCATCCTCATCCTCATCCTCATCCTAATTTCTTCTCTCCTCTCCTCATTTCCTGCAGTCAAACTTGTTTGCAATCAATCCTTCAGTAGTAGCTATTTATTCGATCTTCCTCAATCGCTATAATGGTCTACATATCCAAGTTCGCCGGTGCTGTGGCCGCTGCCTACCTTGCTTCCTTAGTCGTCGCTCATCCTGGTGAGCACCATGATCTCGAGGACATCAAGCAACAGATCAAAGCCCGCGACCAGATGGCTTCCGCGGCCAAACGATCCATCGACACCTGTTCCACCTCAGTCAAGGCTCGTGAGCTCAACTCTCGCTCGCTCGCTCGCCGCGCTGAGGCTGTCCGCGACCTTCGCCAGAAGCGAAACATCCAGTCCAGTAAGTCTCTTATTCTGACCCGCTCCAACATACTCGAATCTTACCACTTACTAAAACTTCCCTCAGAGCCCCAAAAGTACCGCCGTGATCTGGCAACCCTCGAGGCCTTTGAGGCTGTCAACCACAATCAGACGGATGCTCTGTACTATGACAGCTCCACCGAGGAGGCTACGGTCTATTCTGCGAGCACCAGCACCGTTCTCAGCCCAGAAGTCACCGATGGCCCATACTACATCCTCGGCGAGCTCATCCGCAAGAATGTAACAGAGGGTCAGATCGGTATCCCTCTCTACCTCGAAGTCCAGTACGTGGATATCACCACCTGTGAACCAGTCCCCGAGATCTACGTTGACATCTGGAACTGCAATGCCACCGGCTTATACAGGTAAGCAAGAGCCCCGCTTGACATAGCGCCGAAAACGGTAGGCTGACAACAAACAGCGGAGTTGTGGCTACCGGCAACGAGGAGTCCTGGGATACGACCTTTCTGCGCGGCATCCAAGCCACCGACTCGGACGGAGTCGCATCCTTCGAGACCATATTCCCAGGCCACTACGATGGCCGGGCCACCCACACGCACTTGCTATCGCACAGCAACGTGACGGTGATGGCGAACGGCACCATCCAAGGCGGCGCCGTATCCCACATCGGCCAGCTGTTCTGGCAGGAGACGCTCCGGTCCGCCGTCGAAGAGACGTACCCGTACAACACCAACACCCAGGCCATCACCTCCAACGCCGACGACATGTGGTCCATCGTCCAAGCGGGTACCAACTACGACCCGTACCCGGAGTACATCTATCTCGGCAACGGCATCGAGGAGGGCCTCTTTGCGTGGATCCAGATCGGCATCAACGTCACGGCGGACCAGTCCTCGTCGAGCTACTACGCCGTTGCTGGCACCATCCAAGCTGACGGCGGACACCAGAACACCGAGTCGGGCGTTGGTGGCGCACCCGGGTCTGGCATGGGCGGTGGGGGCTTCAACGGCACTGCACCTCCTCCTAACGGTACTGCGACTTCTTCTTAAGTAAGCAGTAATCAGTGAGAAACAAGCTAGACGAAGATGGGAAAATTGGAAAGAAAGTCAGGAGGTAAAACAGAACTATATAGAACAGATGACTGGATACAGTGACCTAGAAAAAACAATGCATAAACACTCATTTCACACCAGAACTTGTCTATATGAAAGCTTCAACTTTTTACGATTAATCGTCGGTTACCTTGAATTTAATTTGTAAAAAATCCCGACCTGGCGCACCACCAAGGCGGGACACCCAGCAAGGCGGGACAATAACGGTATACCACTTCTTAAACAACAACTACTAATACAAATAAAAAGAAAAAAAATATTTCTATGCTTAAAAAACTTTTCCTTATAAATAGGAATTAAAAATATAAAAATGCATTTATTTTTGATGATATAATACATTAAAATGTAATGAAAATATAGCTAAAAACTGTCCCAAATAATTCGAATTTACTTGTTTATTGCGAATAACTTAACAACTACGATTTTAATTAAAAAAAACATCACATAGATCGAGAACAAAAGATTCAATCTATGATATAAGTAATAATTATTAAATAAAAGTTGGTAGTAATGCACGTATTCTTTTTAAAGGTTTAAATAAAAGTCCGATTCTCGTGTTCCTCGCTTATTCTAGATAGTATTTGCACGGCAATTCTGATATATACACACTAGCAAGGTCGAAAAGTATATATCAAAAGTACTATATTTATCACTTTAACTTGATATAATACAGGAATAACAACTTATAATTAAAATCCGATTAATTAATTATCATTAATGTCAATACGATATATTCTTTTATATAGAAATAATTACGAAATAATAATTAATTGATCATTTGTTTATTTCAAAAGGGCAAATTTTACTGTCCCGCCTTGGTGGGTGTCCCGCTTTGGTGGTACCGACTCGCTGTAGCAACTCGGTCAATGTTTTCGAATTGAATTTAAGGAAATCGACGATTAAAGGATGAAATTTATATGTATATAAGTTTTTTTTCTTTTAAATTTTTTTTCTTTCAATTTTTTGGGGGGGGATTTTTTAGGATTTATACCCGGAGCTACGTAAAGCAATCATACCTTAAAGGCAGGTAAAGGGTTATTTGAGCGGTCCTCTGACCCTTTTTTATAAAAGACGGTTATTAAACCATTTAAAGTCAGTGTTAATTACAAATCAAGAATAACTCACCTTTTTAATCGTCCCCGAGCTTAAGATCGTTCTATAGCCGTCTTATGGCCGTCCCCGTCTATATTTTTAAAACAAGTTTATTAATAAGCTCGTTCTAAAAAATTAAAATAGTTTGATGATTATTTTAAAGAAAATATAATTATAAATAAAAATCGTTTTTTAAATAAAATCGTTTAAATAATGATTTAATAAATTCGATGCCAAGATATTTCTCGGTATCGCTGGTACGGCTTATATATCAATGCTTTAAATTTTTAATGATCGGAATCGATCGATTTAGTAAAAGTTCACCCGCGCAGGTGCACCCTTTACGCTAACCGCGGAGTAGGTGTAATAAGAGGGTGGTATACCTAGCAAAGGGTAGACTGCTAAGTAATTGAAAAAAAAAAAAAGCTTATTAATCAACGTTTTCCGGGCGGTTTCAAGTTCGGAGACGGCCTTCGGACGGCTACAAAACGGCTACAAAACGGTCTTAAAACGGTCTTTTCGTAAAAAGACCGACTTTTATAAACGACTATTTAATCGATTAAAACAATCTTATTTTAGTAATAATCTTTTAACGAAAAGACGAGCTCTTATAAAAAACGATTTAATCGATTGAAATAATTTTATTTTAGCTACGATTTAAATAATTTAAATCGTTTGTTTTCAAATTCTATTCAATTTGGAGTATCGGCTTAAGGTGATCCACTAGCTATGCCAACCTCTTAAAATCGTCTTTTAAAGAGACCGTCATCGGATTGTCAGCTGACGGTTTAAATAACCACCTGCCTTTAAGGTAGTTGTATCAAAAGAGTCTTTCCTCAGAAATCGCTAGGCGCAACGCCCGATTGAATAATCGGTACAGACCTGGATCAAAAGAGCCAGTCAGCCAGCCGAGTAATCAATCTAGTCACTCATTCAATTATTTCATTCATTCACCTCCCCCCCCCCCCCCCCCGCCGTTACAATCCTCCAATCCTTTTTTTTTTTTAAAAAAAACCTCCCCAAGCTTAAATCTCAATCAAAACTACCCACGCAGAAATCCAATCCAATCCCCTGGAATCCAGTGCGATAACTAAAATCCCACTCATAATACCCACCCATTACAAAGACTCACGAGATCAGAAAGCTGCTTGCTTAATACTGGACCAACTAACTCCATCGCACTCCTCCCCTCCCGTCCCTCCCGATAATCGCAGCCCGCTCGCTCAGAAACCAAAGAAGTAAATAAGGTAAAAATTTCGAAAAAGAAAACCATAGCCAGTGAAGCGATCCCCCCAGGCGAGAGATATCAAAGACCTCCTTCCACTTCGCAGATCAAGATCAGAATAAAACTTAATAGCCAATCCCTTCCCTTTCCACTTGCTTTCTTCCCGCTACCCACCCCCCCATTCCCCTCCCCTCTCTATGGATAATTAACCACATAACGCGCTAGCAGATACGCACGACCACAGACTGAGGAGTATGGGGCATCCCGTCCGCTCTGCCATTTACAAGCCTCAGATCGGCAGGTTAGTAGTTGGGTAGGTGACCACCAGCGAATACCTGCAGTTGTATGTTATGTTTTGCAATACCTTTTGTGTCTTTGCTGTCAGTTTAATAGATTTTTTCAAGTTTTTCTTTTCTTTCCTTTTTCCTTTTTGTAAGAAACGATGGTACCTTACAACAAACCCACCGCCTTTGTATGTATATATGTTTACGCTTGCCGTTACCGCATCGAGTATACGCCGCCGTTTAATGAATTGCAGTATGGGGATGATGGAAGGGGGGAGGTGGGTAGGTGGGTAGATGCTGCAATAAGACATTGTGCCTCTTCTAAAGCGTCCAACGATATATCTTAGCGTGCCTACAGCAGTGGTCGCTCACTGGATTCACCTGGCCCAATGTCCAACCTGGGATCGTGAACATCTCATGCCATTACCCCTCGCCTCAGATATGTGTACAAGAGCTCCAGGACCCAATCATTCAACCAATCCCATCTAGTCCTACACCGCAGCACAAACCTCTTTTCCCAAGCACCGAAACGCCCTGATTTTCGCCTAGCCAGCCCCATTTTCCCAGGCCCGCCTAACTGAACTTGCTGTAGATGACCGCAATAATGAGCAGCACCAGCACGGTGATAATTGCAATCGTTATGATCCGATTTGTAGCCATCCTATTCTGAATCAGTACCTCCTCTTTCACAGCCTTTGGAAGCCCCGAGAGAAAGGTTGTCAATCATACCTCCGCGCCATCCCCCTCAGCGTCTTGACACTGCGGTCCACATAGCCCTCGCTCTCGTGCAGGATGTCGCCCGTATGCTGGATGGTCTCTCTCTGGCGATGCAGATCCGCTAGCGTGCTGGCACCAATGGCTTCCGTCTCGAGCGCGAGCGCGGCACTGTTCTTCAGCCGCTGGCTGCTCCGGTCTAGGCGGTCGGTACCGGAGAGGAGCTGCTGGCGCTGCTCGAGCTGCACGTCGTTGCCGCCCGGGTTGTCAGAATAGCGGGACCCGAAGAGGGCGGAGCGGTCGGAAGCCAGGGCGAGCAGCTTGCGCTTCGAGGCATCGATGTCCGACTCGTGGTTACGGAAGCGGGCGTTGATTTTGCTGCGCGTGGTGGATGGGATGTTCTGCTTCTCGAGGCGCATCTGGTCGAGCTGGATGGGGCAGGTGGTCCGTCAACAATGATCCTCTCTTTCGCATTTGGGGTACGGGGGAAGGGCAAGGGCAAGGGGATGTACGAGTTCATGACCTTCCTCCAAGGCCCGCTCTGCGGACAGGATGGCAGCCTTGCGTGGCTCGCCTGTGAGGTCGGGAATCTGGTCGAGCTTCTGGGAGAGATCTGCCTGTACGAGTTTCAGCTCGGCTTCGTAGCTGCTGAAGAGTTCGGAGCCGGCGTCGGTATCGAGGGGGTTGGACATGGTTGTGATAGTGGGCGGTCGTGGGGGTGGAGGTTGGGAGTGTGAGTATGGGTTTGAGTGTGGTTGGAGAGGGGCGTAGTCGTCGTCGTCGTCGTCGTCGTTGTCGTTGTCGTTGTCGTTGTCGTTGTTGTTAGACATTGACTTGGACTTGACGTGTGAGGTCCGGCGATGGCTCGGCTCGGGGCGTTGGGGTGGCCGATCCGGGCTTGGCGATTATATTCAAGCCTATCTCAACTCAAGCTTTGAAGAGATCTGAGCTATGATACGGGATACGCTTAGACGCTTTCTTCAACAGATCTACAAGATACACCACCAACACCACCAATCGACATTGACGACAACTGCCAACCCCAACCACCACCCCACCAACCACCAACCACCTTTGCCGTCCACCCATCTGTCGTGCATTTCTTTTGCGCATGAAAATCCCCAGCCTTTGTGTACTTCGAAACCAAAACAAGACCAGCCCAGCTCAGCTTAGTCCCAGTCCTACGGTCACGAAAAAGCCATGACGCCGTCTCTCATGGACGCCTCCAGCTCCAGCTCCAGCTCTAGCTCCAGCTCCAACTCCAACTCCAACCCCAGCTCATCGCCAGCTGCAGCGAGTGATGATCTGTGAATTTCACCTTTCCTTCCTATGTCGATTCTCCTCCCCCTTCTTCTCCCCAACCCGACTCCCTTTAGAAACATCCACCATGGCCCCTCCAAGATCTAATAGAAATCCGGTGCCCAGGAAGAAGGTTGCTATCATAGGCAGTGGCAGTGCGGGCATCGGTGCGCTCTGGGCCCTCAACCGCACCCATCACGATGTCTACCTATACGAAGCCGCCGACAGACTTGGTGGCCACTCCAACACGGTGGAATTTCACAATGGGAAATTCAAGACTTTGGTTGACACGGGATTCATTGTTCTGAATACTGCCACTTATCGTGTGTTCTCTTTGCGCTGAAGCAAATTGCACATGCTAATCTTACACAGCGAACTTTATCAATTTTCTCAACGCCGTCCATGTTCCTACAGTACCAACGGAGATGACTTTTGGAGTTTCGAGGGACGATGGCTTGTTTGAATGGGCCGGGACGTCGCTAGCTGCTGTGTTTGCGCAGAGGAGGAATCTACTGTCGCCGAGGGTGTGGAGGATGATCTTCGATATAATACGCTTCAACCAGTTCGCTCTGGACCTCCTGCAAGCGGAAGAGAGAAGCGAGGAATACGTGGCTGGAAAAGAGAACGGGCACTCGAACGGGAACGGGTGGCATCATGCCGAGAAACAGGAGACGATTGGGGAATACCTGGACCGGGAGGGCTACTCGGATGCGTTCAAGGACGACTACCTTATTCCAATGACCGCTGCGGTCTGGAGCACGAGTCCGGATAAATGCACGCTGGAATTTCCTGCCGTGACGTTGGTGCGGTTCATGTAGGTTTCGTTTCTCTTGAGATCTTGTGAGAGAATTATCGCTTACAAGTCTAGGTGGAACCACCACCTCCTCAGCACCGTCGCCGCGAGGCCCCAATGGCTGACTCTGAAATACGGCGCAAAATCCTACATCGACGCCGTCATGAAAGGCTTTCCACCCAACCACATCTTCCTCAACTCCCCAGTTCAATCCATCACCAACGATTCTGACGGAAAAGTGCGCCTGCACCTCCCTGATGCAAAATCAGAAGTCTATGACCACGTTATTCTCGCCACACACGGCGACGAAGCCCTCTCTCTCATCAACGCCGAAGCAGACCAGGAGGAGAAGTACATCCTCGGAGGGTTCAAAACTAGCCAAAACACTGCCATTCTGCACTCCGACCTTTCCCTGATGCCGAGATCACGAAAAGCCTGGTCGAGCTGGAACTACATCACAAAATCCTCGCCGACGGGTGCCAACGTCGACCAAGTGTGTCTAACATATAACATGAATATCCTGCAGCACATTGAACCGGCCGTCTTCGGCAACGTTCTTGTCACGCTTAACCCCCTGCACCTCCCCCCGCCGGAGACTGTGCAGGGACGCTACACGTACACGCACCCGCTGTACAACGCCGCCGCGATCCACTCCCAGAGCCTCCTACCTCGCATTCAAAACACGCGCGGCATCAGTTACTGCGGCGCCTGGACCAAATACGGCTTCCACGAGGACGGCTTCTCGTCTGGGCTGCAGGCTGCGCAAGACCACCTGGGCGCGAGGCTGCCCTTCCGGTTCAAGGACAGCACTTTCAGCCGTGGCCGGAAACCTGAGCTAGGGATTGCGGACCAGGCGCTGCGGCTGGCGATTATGGCCGTGCAGTCATTTGTTGAGTTTGTCGAGATGGTCTGTAGAGTTGATCGCCGGAAGCGGGTGTATGGTGCCCCGATGGGCAAGATTAAGAAGGTGGCTTAATGCGCTGGCAAAGCATAGAGAACCAGGACCTGGGAATTGGAAGGTGACAAATTGGGGCTGGGAAATTGGGTGTGCAGGAAAATCTGGGGTCTGGGCATACCATGGGTATCTGGGAGACAATTGCGGCGTTAGTTTCTCTCCCTCTCGTGACCCTTCTATCTAAGTCGTGATTTAACAAGAATGATAATGCTATATTCCCATCTTCTCTCTCCCTCTTCCTTTAGATTCAAACAGGATACTCACCAAAGCTTAGACCCCCAAACCAATTAGCCTGGCTTTTCACCAGTTTGCTTATTTCTTTACACAAACAAGTAAGTCCCTACCTAGTCTCAATACTCTAACGTTGTTCAGATATACGCTATGCAAGATGCTGCAGGGCAGCAACTCTTTAGTATTGAACGGACAGAAGATCAGATGGATACCGTGCAGCACAACACTTGAGAAGGATACCTGATTAACTAATCAGTTTCTTGATCATGGCCAGAGAGAGCCATCGGGCATGCATGCGATGCGATGCGGATCAAAACCGCTAGAGTATACTGATTCGCTTTGCTTGCGAGGTCAGACCAACAAAACTCGGAAACCGAACTGGGCGTATCGATGAATTGAAGGTTGTTGACATTGTTTTTTTNNTTTTTTTTTTTTGTTTTTTTTTTTT